CCATGATACATTTCACAATCCAAAGGCATTAGAAAGCCACTGCACTTCCCCAGGAAGCAGCACAGTTGCCTGCCCCTTTACCATCTTGAGGCCCCGAGAACAAAAAACTGCACGATTTTTTAATATTCTTTTTAAAATGCATAGACAGCAGTACACAGGGCATACATAAGAGAGGAGCTCCCTAAAAAATCTCTGTATGAAAGGGCTGATAACAGTAGTACAATTCTGAAAGCAGTATCATTCATATCTCCCAGTCTTGGGAAATAGTTCAGACCTCTGCACTCACCAAGCGAGAGAAAGAAAGGTGACCAGGTTGTCTATTTGGATAGAAGAGCTTTTGTCTCATTTCTGCAACTCTCATCCTCAACTTTGCAGTTAACTTATTTCAACTGCACAGATACAATACTGGACAACCCTGCTCGATCCACTGCCAGGCCTCTTACTGACTAAAAGCTAAGCCTCTTGTTATTTCAATGGAAACAATTAGGTTATGGTATGACACCCTTTTTCGTGGCATTTATTACCTTCAAAAATGTGTCTGCTGTTACCACACTCAACAGGATCAAACTGTCATTTTATGCAACATACTTATTCATCAGATAACAGCTGATCTGTACCTTAAAATGTCTTCTGATGGGTCCTGCATTTTCCAGGTGTCCTCTAATGCGTCTGTGAGGATAAGCATCACTTGGTTTTGAAGAATAATAAGAATTCTAGTAGGAAAACAGACAGTTATTACCTTAACGTTACTAAATTATTCAAGGAAACATATGAAGTTCCCATTAGTTGTACTAACAAACACTGCGACTCTTTCACTCTTGTTGTGATCGACTCAATAACGCTGTTTGAAGGAACCAGACTAACAGGGCCTGGAGTCCAGGCTGGCTAACGTGATGGCAGAGCGCACTGAAGCCAAAGATGATACAGAACTACCCTACTGGAATATCCTCCTCAGGGAGATCTAAGCAGGTAACAACCCAATTAAGGTTTTCCACCCCTGCCCCCCAGAAGAGACTCCTCAACTTGCAGGCAGCAAGTGTAGCAGACAGGTTCCTACAGCAGTCACCCCTTCAGCCAGGCGTAAGGGCAACGAGATCAGTGCTCTGGACATCCCTGGGTAGCCTGTGGTCATCGCAGGTTAGCGTGTTTTACAGCAGACACGCACACAGTTACGTGCACAGTGCCAGCAACCAGATGACGAGCGCATAGCATGTTACAGCGGTCCTCAGAAGATTCTACTTTTAACTCTGTGTTACAGGCCAGCACTTTCGAGATTACTTGCCTGCCACTGAAACACACATGATTTCAAAAGCAAGTTGCACAGACAAGCGGTACCGAAGTCACTGTGTGTCCTAAAATAGAGCACTCCCTCCAGCTACTGTCCTACCTGTGTACTGTGGCCCTTTTCCAATTTTTCCCACGACAGCTACCTTGAGAGGATGCACACAGCTAAAATGTTATTCTCTTCCATCGTTGCATACAAGTATTTACAAAAGCATTACATGTGGCATATACTATATTAAAGTCATCTAATCCAGAAAGAACAGATTGCTAATGAACTCTTGCTAATCAAGTTAAATTCTTTATGGTCCATTCTAGAACAATCAAAGCATTCCAATGCTGTTGAGTTCTGGTTTTCCAAGGGAAATTTTAAAAAGAGCCTAAGAATAAACTCATGAAATATTTCATATAAACATATAATAATAAATGCAAATGTACATTTTGCTGTTTACGAAGTTTCTTTTCTAACAAAGGACCAAACCTTTCCAGTGGCAGAAACACCTTAGGATATGCTTTCTAATACTGTTACTTGGTGTGTGTGTGTATGGGGGTGTGTGTGTGTTTAAACTCAACAGAACAGTGTTAGAATCCAAGTTAACTTTTAAGTAGGATTTAAGATAGCTTTTTTTTTTTCCTTGAGTGGGGTGTGGTTTGGATATATTACTGCCTACAAGTCAACTATTTGGCTTCTTAAAATGCCTTGACAGAGGGGATTCAGCAGAGAACAAAAAGAGAGGGAGACAGACTATGAAGTGAGATCAAAGTAGTCAAAATGGATTTTCCAAGGAAAAAAAAAAAAGGTATGGAAAATTAAACACAGAGGAAAAAGCATGTCAGGAACTTCCCAGCTCCCTTCTTACTCTAAGAATGCAAAAGATACTCCATGAAACCAAATTAACTTTCTCCATACAACACATAATTAAATCAGGAAACTCCCTGTTGAAACACACTCCTTTAAAGATGAGAATTTAGTAAGATGAAAAAAACCACCACATTCACAAAGATTTCCTGTTATAATTAAAAATAAGCCTTTGGGACTTAAAGGTTGACCCAACTAACTGTGGATACACCCCACCCCATCTCCACCTCCCTCAAGATTCAAGTACATTCATGGAAACAAAAACATTACAACTACTTAATGCAAAGATACCTGAAGAGTAGGTTGCTGTATTTCCTAAACATAGGTTTGTAATGAGTAAACTGGGAAAGTACAAATAGATAATTGTTCTGATCATCTTTTTGTCAACAGGGTACAAAGACAGATGGGCATTTCTTACAATCAAGGCTGGACAGACATTTGCATCTTCACGGCACAAGAAGTTCTTCTCAAGGTTAGGCTTGACCCCCAGGTATTGAATATTAACGTAAGGAACACTCCCCTCCACTGGCCTGCTGTCAAACCTGATCATACCTTGCACTGAAAAGCTCGTATTGGCTAAACATGGGATACCAAAAGCACACCAACCAAGTCAATACCATCTCCGTGTTTAACCAAATGCCTAATATCGTCCATTTAAGATGAAAGCAGAAAGTGGCATAATTATCACATTTTGACAGTTTATTGTAAGGACATTTCAGTATGAGCAACACATTATCTGTTTGCACATTAGGCAACACGCTAGCATCAGATATGATCTACTGATCAGGCTTTCTGTTATCGAGCATCCATCTTTTACCAATGCTGATACATAGAGCTTGGCAAGCAACAGTGATAAAAACCACAATGAAATTTTACTAACAAAGATAAAAATATGCAAATAAATATTTGATGCATTGCATTTTTTGAATACTGTGTTATAATTTAAGATGCTGCAGTGGCTCTCCTGTCAAATACTCATTTTTAAGGTTATTTTTGACCTACTTTCTGAGTTTGTTATGCTTGTCATTTGAAACCTGGCTCTCTGATGTGCTTTTCACTCAATGTTTACTTCTAAACAAAACCAAACAAACCAGAGAGGACTAGTGGAGGTTACAGTTTTTGTTTTGGATTTCTAAGGGTTTGCTTTTAAGATTAGAGGCGGAACACTCCTCAACACAAGTGGTAAGAGATGTGGGAAAACAAGTGAAAGAGTACACAGTAGGCGCCTTTACAATTTTGCTGATACAATGTGCTATTGCTACATCTCTTGTGCAGCACAAGACAACTTCCCACGAGGGCTGGAGAGCTCTGCTTGGACTGTGAAATCAACTGAACAAACATCTACCCAAGAATATGAGACTGAGCAAAACCACCAAAAGTTACTTTCTCATTCAACAACTATTATCTTAGCCTTTCCTTACATTTCAAACCATTCCTCCGTTTTCCCATGTACTGCTGTGCCCCAGCAATGTATCTTTCATTTTAGGATGTTTCCTATTTGAAAAAGGTGTGTTCGACCCAGCATCAGTGTTCTGGTGACCCATCAGACCACTTAAATCCTAGGCACCGTCCTCCAAGCACTGCCTTTCAGCCACAGTCCTTACGCTTTCCAAGGTGCCCCAGCGGTGTTCACACCTGAACACTGAAACAAGGCTATGGATGGCAAATTGCGAATGTTTGCCCTCTTGCAGAAAGGGGCTACAAGTGGCCTTTACCTTCATTCATTTTTGGGTTTCTAAGGCTGCTTTCAACTCTGCTAATATTTCACTTCCAAATGAAGTAGTAGTGAACACAGTCACACAGCTCTGAGTTTATTACAGAACACCTGCTCAACACTGAAAAGACATGTGGCTGAAATTACAGTGGGCTGTTTGGACACCACTCCACTTAATTCCCACCACAAACACTAAAGCAGTGCTGGCAGCTTACAGGTGTGGAGATTGAGCTTGAGCTACTGCCACCAGGATAAGATCTTCTTCAATCACACCTGGTCCTGAAGAACTCCTTCATGGAAAGCCATTGTCAGGACCATACATTCTCACGCAACACATCTACGTGTCACGGGAAGTGCCACAGTACCGGAGCTAGCTTGCTCAGCTGAATTACTTTACTGCCTTGGACATATGAGTTAGCTCTATTAGTGATCTGCTCTGCCCAGGAGAAGATACCCTCTTTCTGCACTACTTTACATACCAAGTATGAGACATACTAGATAGATGGGCACGTTAGACACACCAGATAAACAGGCAAACAGACAAGGGGAGCAGAATAAGAATCAAAAGACAATAACAAACAAAAACAGAACAGGAAAAGCAATTTAAAAGTGCCAATTAATGTACTGCATGCACATTTTCAAAAGGTCTGTAAGCCCTCCACGCCAGCTGGTGAGCACTGATTAATTGCATTTTTACTGACAGTTGTGGATAGGAAAACGAAACTATTTTATTTTCCTACTTGTTTGCAAACCAGCTTCTGCATGGCTGACTTCCTGGAGAGTCATTTCTTCTTCAGGATGCCCTGCATTTGTAATACCTATGCTTTCACAGCTCCTGTTGTTCTGAATGGATAACTCCTCACTGCAGTGCAGGGCTTCAAAAACTGCAGGTTTGCAGTTTGCTATTAACAATCAAAATGTAATCTTCCTGTATCTTCAGCACATCTAACAATAACTCAGTTTCTACTTCAAACTAACTCCTTTTTAATTTGCATTTACTATATTATTTAATGAGCAATTAAGTACTTATTTTTGAGGACTTCAATCAGTCTTAAGTAATATTTTTTACTGTTAAAAACTTCTGTTTTACACTGAAAGATGCACTGCTATATCTGCAAGGCAGTTACATATCAGTGAGTGGCAGAACTTTGGCTAAATAAAACCTACTTTTGGTGGCCCACAAAACTTTAATCTTTTGGAACCCTGTCTGCAAGGTGTTAATTATAATGTGTAAAGAATGACAACTTATGTCAGTCTCCTACTTATTTTGCACCCACCAGAAAAAATGGTTTAGAATTATACTGCACAAATTAAAGCTTTTCTAGTCTCACCCGTTTCCCAAGTTAAACAAGCACAAAGACTTGGAAATAAGACTACATTGATTTAGAAAGAAATTTCCGTAAGAGACAAATTTACTTCTACTGAGCCTAAAAGAAGTGTCTTCCTCATTTCAATATTAAAGTAGGTCACAGAAAGACAGCCTAAGAAAGAGTAAGTGCCCAAAGTAGGTTCAATAAACACAGTATCAACACAGATAAGCCATTCCGTCCTCAGGAACATCATTTTACACATTTGTAGTTCTTTCTGCGATTTGCTCCTCATTTTTATTTGCTTTCAAAATAAAAGCTTTCCAGAACTGTTACCATGACAAGGATAAACACTGTTTTAAGTACAAGTGCCACCTACACAAAACAAGATTGGGACCTTCCCTTCTGACCATGGACAACTAGACTGCAGGAGAGTATTCTTTTTCTCCAACTGTTCCAAATTACCTCAGGTATCTGCTCCATACAAGGCCTTCTAATTCATAATTTAGGTATCATTGATTAATTTACATCATTGATTGGAAGAAATGCACTATTAGGTACAAATTTCTTCTACAAAGCTAAAAGCGATGTGAGTTTTTATTTCATACAACCCCTTAATCAACTGATCTCAGTAAGTCCCTTGAACCTAAAATTTAGTTCTGAAGTTCAGTTTGACCTGTTCCTGCTTTTCAAGCAGCGATTCACCACTATTTCCAGACTGGCTGAAGACATGTTTTGATTTCACCCAACATAGTGATCCAAACTAGCTTTCCGAAGTAACAAATCCCTGGCCAACTCGCTCCTATGTTACAAAGGAACCAGTAGCAAAGTTGTTCTGGAGCACGGCACTGGCGTGCACAAGAACTACCACACGTTTGGTCATAGAAGGGGGGTTAGCTCACTGGTATTAACCTATGCTTCAACAGATATCCGAGGAAGCACAGCACTAGAACTGTGAAGTTATGAGCAGTTTTATTGTTGAGCAAACTCTGAAGATAATTTACATCAGCACAGACAGTGCAACAGTAAATTATTTATAAATGCAAGAACAACGGCAGCAGCTACTAATTCTACATTTAGGCTTACCAGGTGAGGTTTCCCAATAAATTTCCTGAAAGGTGGCTTAATGAACCTCATAGGCTTTTGGAAGCCATCAAGTTGACAGCTTTGCAATTTTGGAAGATTGCAGCTTTGCTGGTTCCTGGTGTGTACGAGAGAGAGAACACAATTAAAATCTAAAGCCACGGCATATCAAACCCTTGTATTTTACACAACCTCAGTCTGGCATCTGTATCACTTAAAAATGCAAAGTGACAGCTTTTAAGTAATTTTTTCCTGGGACATTCGACAAGCGACTAGTCCTCTGACTACTGAAGCCCGAGTTGCACAGAATTATATAGTAGGCTACATTCTCTTATTGCATGACAAATTAACAGAGAGGCCTTGACTCCCTGAAATCCTCCTTGTGCCAATCAGGTTTCCCTGGCTCAGCCCGTTTAGGCTGGTCATTGCTGCCCTCCGCTGGCTGAAATGCTCTCTGCATTCCAGCAGTTCCATAGCCTAAAGTTGTACAGAACCTTCCGTTTCACAAAATCCCAAATCCGACAGCAGCTCAGATAAATAACTAGATGCTAGCTAGATGCTCCAGTGTCATCCTCAGTGCACAGGGTGCTCTCGCTTGCTTGGGTTTTGTTTAACGAGCACGTTGCCAATACAGGTGTCCATAAACCTCCGAAACAACTGCACAGCAAGCAAAGTAACCACCAGAAGTCAAAATTCATAGTTCACAAAACATACAGAAACAGCTTTCATAGCTGAAAAATAAATTACTAAGGCAAAGCCAGAGGCACACTAGACTAGCCCCTAAGCACTGCCAGTATCTCGCACGTGAGCTATGAAAAACCACCGATCTCAGGAAGATCCTACCCGCCCTTCACACCATCACTGCCTTCAGCCCCCATTACGCTGTCTGCATTGCTCTGACAGGGTAACCTCTACTCCCATCGGACTCCACGACAGCCACACCTACTGCACAAACTTGAGCTTCCCACTTTGAGTGGCATACACAGAAGGCAGGCAAGACAGTAACTGTGGAAGGGGCAAATTCACAGATTCAGGGTGGTAGGTGGGGGTTGGAAGGGACCTCTAGAGATCACCTAGTCCAACCCCCCTGCCAGAGCAGGATCACCTAGAGTAGATCACACAGGGACAAGTCCAGGCGGCTTTTGAACAGCTCCAGGGAAGGAGACTCCACCCCCCCTCTGGGCAGCCTGTTCCTGAGCTCTGTCACCCTCCCAGTGAGGAAGGGTTTCCTCATGGTCAGTTTGAACCTTGTGTTTTCCAGTTTATGGCCATTGCCCCTAGTCCTGTCCCTGGACACCACTGAGAAGAGTCTGGCCCCATTCTCCTGACACCCACCCTTTACATACCTATAAGCATTGATAAGATCCCCCCTCAGCCTCCTTTTCTCCAAAAAAAAGCCTTCCCAGAGGATCAGGCCAAACATGCACTGAAAGCATCACCTCAGGTACATAAAAGGCTACACACAACAGTCCAATTTTTTTTTTCCCCCACTTGATAACTGAGTTTTTAAAGAATCTCAAATATAATAAACACGTCTTCCACAGCTTCACAAGTCAGTCTTCCCATGTATGCGTGCACTGCCACTACAGACTGCACTTAAAAATGAACGAACAGCAGCATACTGAGAGCGATCTGCAAATCACGACTACAGCGTAGGTAAGTTTCATTACAATCTGGCAATTCTTTAATCAACATTTCTTCTCATACAAATAACTCATCTCTAATCAAGCAACCTCACAACATCCAAAGTGAAAGAGGATGACTGAGTTTAGCAAACACCTCTGGGGCAAACACCTTTACCAAACCTGTTGGAGGAATTCACAGCAGTGAAAAGCTATTCCAAAAATCTAGCTTTTCTTCATAAAAAACTCTAAGAATCAGAAACATTCCAATTCTTTGTTGATATTCCAACATGACATTACCAACCAACCAGGGCAACACAACAATATATTCATCGTAAGCATCCTAGAATGTTTTTATGAAACTACAAAATATGAAGAGAATAGTATTATATGGCACATCAGGGAGTTTAAAGATAGTTTAAGCACCTTAAAATTCATTTCTTCCCCTCTTCCCACTCAGTGCTACAGTTTGAGTTCGCCTTTTTTTCCCCCACTGCAGCTTAACCTCTTGTAAGGTAACACTCCAGTGCAGAGTATTTTGCAATGCATGCCAGTTCAATTTCAGCCTGAGTCAAACTTACAAGAACAAACTATGGAAAAGTATCACAACAAATGCCAACATAACTGTGGAAGATTCAAAAAATTAACAGATAAGAGAACTACAACAAGATTGTTATTTGCTCTATGGAAAAGTATCACAACAAATGCCAACATAACTGTGGAAGATTCAAAAAATTAACAGATAACAACCTTGTTGTAGTTCTCTTATTTGCTAATTACCTTGGAGTAACACCATCCACATGAAACACTCTCTCATCTTCGTTCTTTAGCCTCTCTTTTCTCCTCCTTTCGATATCATGCCGCAGATCATTTGGATCTTCTAACACTCTCATCATGTTCTAGTTAAGAGGAAGGGTTAAAGTCAAGTCAGCTAGTGAAAACTAAACGTGACACTGTCCTTCACGGATTGCAACTGGTATACAACCCTGTTAACGTTGTGCCACTGTCTGCACATCAGACTGATCAACCCAAAGATCCCAAATCCAAAACAGTAGCAATAAGTCATCCCAAACAATTATACTTTCTTGCACCATCTGCCTTTTTACAAGTTTCTAAACATGAACAGAGCACTGGAATTCTGCATGGAGTTGCCAAGGCAAAAATATGCACAAATTCCAGTAAATCTTAAGAAGTTCTACTCTTTTTAATTAAGTTGAACCTCCACATACCTGGACTACAGAAGGAAAAAACAAACAAACAAAAAAAAACCCAACAACAAAAACCACCCACAACTAAATCACAGTAAGCATAGCTTAAAAGGGGAAGACAGAAAATCTTATGTCCCCAGATGAAAGCACAGGATAAAACAGCATTCTGAGGAATTATATGGTTGTTGGGCCATGCTAGCACTTGGGTAGAACGTACATTATGGCTTTTTCCAATCTCAGAAGAAAAGTAAGAGCCCCATGTCAGCCACCAACTTAGTATTTACACTGTTTAAAAATGGCTAGGGGTTCAAGCAGCATGAATAACCACACTCCAACTGCCGTGGGCAACACCTCTGCATTTCGCTCATTGGTGAACACAGTACACTTGCACCACTCTGGTATCTGTAAATACGCTCAAGTGTGCCTTTCTTTCGAAACAGAATTACTGACGGTCTTCACAGCACGTAAAAATGACTTACCAGCACCAAGGGGAAGATGTTGTTTTACATCTCTATCATTTTAACTTACTGTTTGCCAGAAAAGGTAAAGTTAATCAAGATACCTGGGGAGATTCAGATGGCACAGTTCGTTTGTTCTGAAGGTCTGCTAGAGACATGTCAATCCTCCTGGAACACAAAAATATTACATAAGAACAAGTGCCAGCACTGTAAATAGCAAAACCATTATTGACCAACTACAGAATTCTTTACAGACTATGAGCCGGCAGTTCAGCCAGTGAAAACACGCTTTACGTTGTGTAATGTCTGCTGACGGTTAACTACCTCAACGCAAGTAAATCAAGGCCAAAAGCACATCAGTTACCTGTGAATTTCTGGATCCAAACATATCTTAACTTCATTCATATTCACAACTGGTTTATCCTGAATTTTTGAGAATCGTTCATGTAGAGTTATGTTAGAAGACGTAAAATAATTTGCTGTGAAGAGATATTAAAATATAAGAATGTTTATTTGTAGTATTTGAAATGCACAGTGAGAAACTGGATCTCTTAAAAAATTAACTCTTAAGGACACCAAGACAACTTCTAAGATTAAATATCAAACTATATCCACTTGGAGTTTAACATCCAGAGATGAAGGATTAGGCCAGCCCAACTTAGCCATCCTTCTTATTTAGTAAGATTAAGCTCAGTGGAAAGTCAACTATTTGTTAGCTCTATCATGGTAGTACTCAAATGACTAGAATCTATAAAGTTCAACCCTGAACATGATGCAGCAGTCTAAACAGGAATCTGAAAAATTAAAGGAACCATGTGTATCTAGGAAATTGTGACCACAGCAAAGCTCCTTCTTTCTTCTCGTTTCGTAAACAAGAAGGTTAGTCTGAAGCACTAGGATAAAATATTTTCGGACCTTAACGCTCCACAATAATGCCTCTGTTACGGACGGAGACCTTCTTACAATCATTCTCCATCTAGCTACTTGAAATCCTCAACCTACACTTCTCCTTAAACAACACAGCATGAAGCCAAAATTCAAATGAAGCCAAAGGCAAACACCCAAGACTTACAAGGACAGCGCATCTGATTTATTAGATTTGGTTTCAATAATTATAAATACATAAACACACACATATACCCCAAATGTTACAGCCACCTTTGACTTGATGGATAATTGTGATTATTTCCTGAGTAAATTCTCTTGATGGGTCGTTTTCAACATTTTGTGTCACAGATTCCACGTGCTCAAACACAGGATGAAAATTTTCATTTTTCCTGCCAACAGCAACCAGATCATGGGACATCTGCCTCTCTGTAGTATGACTAGAAGCAGCCCTAGAATAAGAAGTTGTAGATATTCACTTCATAAGAATTCACTATATCTAAACATTTCAGACAGACAAGTAGAACAAAACAGTATATTAAGAAGTAAATTTAAGGAACAAATGCAATGAAAACTGAAATCTCATTTTGTTCCTTTAGTAATTTAGAAACTCATACGGCCATAAGGAAGAAAAGTTTTCATAAATACAAAGAGATATGATTACGCCCCCAGGAATCCTTGTTTCAGTGAAGTATGCAATACAAAGTTTGTGAATTTTAAATTTACTTCTTCTGTATTATCAGAAAAAAGCAAATTAAGATCCTGATATACTTCTTTAGTATAGTTCTGGAAGGTAATTACATGTGTGTCTTCATCTATAAGGAGCTACCAGACAATTTTCAAGACCAGTTCAGAGATTTAAAAACCTCACAGCACCTTTGGGAACAAAATCATCAATTCAAGCTAAGAATGCGTTTAGCATCTTTTTGTCAAATTTTACTCCTTCTAAGTAAGTTTACACCTCAAACGGCTGCATTGCTGCTTAAGAATTATTTCAACAAGGAAGCTAACACTTTAAATATCCTGATGTTCTTGCAAGGAAAATGCTTCTCATTTGGAAATAAATTGAGGACTCAAAGAGCCCATGTAAAAGCTTTTAAGATAAAGATTCTGTTGACTGTTGTGCTGGTTTTGGCTGGGATAGAGTTGATTTTCTTCACAGTAGCTAGCATAAGGCTGTTTTGGATTTATGCTGAGAAGAATGTTGATAACACAGGATGTTTTAGTTGCTGCCAAGCAATGTTTACATTAAGCCAAGGACTTTTTCAGTTTCTCATACTGCCCCTGTGTTCCCAGCTGCTTCTCTGCAAGAAGCTGGGAGGAGACACAGCCAGGACAGCTGATCCCAACTGACCAAAGGGATATTCCATACCATATGGCATCATGGTCAGCATTTAAAGCTGGACATGGCTGAACACCTGCCTGGCAATGGGAAGTGGCGAATGGATTCCTTGTTTTGCTTTGCCTGTGGGCACAGCTTTTGCTTTACCTGTTAAACTGTCTTTATCTCAACTTATGGGTTTTCTCACTTTTGCCCTGCTGATTCTCTCATCCATCCCACTAGGGTAAAGCCAGTAAGAAGCTGCATGGGGGTTAGCTGTCAGTTGGGGTTAAACCACAACAACTGTGCATTCTGCAAAGTGGTTACATGCCTCCCATCCAGTATTTGAAGCAGAACATACTAGAATTTCATTCAAAAATTGTATCAAAAAGACTCTAGAAGGTGCCAGGAGTCATCCATTTGCCCCCAGTAAACTGGAAATAAATGCATACAAAAGGGAATCCTAACAGTCTCAACTGTAGGTGGTTAGAATTATCTACCTGCATTCCCCACGTCAATAAACAGTATTCAGCTGAGACATTTCAAGTCAGGTGTTTGTTAAATGCCTAAAGCAGGCAGCATGAATATTCCCAGTCATCAGCTTTTGTCTTTTATTTTTTTTTAAATATTTAGCATTTTTGGCTGCAGAAGCAAGCCTTCCACACATGAAATTAGCTGTAACCAATGTAGTAGTTTCCTTCAGTCTGCAATTAATTACCATGTCCATTGTGCATGACTTTCAAAACCAGCAGCACAAGGCTACTAGATGCAGGAATTGTCCTGTGGGCTTGCAACAAAACCCAACAGTAGTTATTTTCATTGAACAGTTTTGGTTGGAAGGGACCTTACAGACCATCTAGTTCCAACCCCCCTGCCATGGGCAGGGACACCTTCCACTAGACCAGGGTGCTCAAAGCCTCATCCAGCCTGGCCTTGAACACTTCCAGGGATGGGGCATCCACAGCTTCTCTGGACAACCTGTTCTAACATTCTTCTTACATTATGATTCAGGAAGTTAAATGCTTGTCCTAGTCCAAAGGTGGAGAGCTATTACTCTGCTTCCCATGCCTCAGTCTTTCATATTAGTCCCTTAAGTGCAGACAGTAGCTTGTCTTTGTAACTCTCCGTTGTATTATGCATTTCTGACATACTGGAAAGGGAAAATGGTTGATATAGATATTTTATTTGGGACAGGAGGCAAAATACCTTTTGAAAAAGCTGATGATTCTGGAAGTGAAGGTAATCCCTGCCCAAAGGGATTACTGCCATTAGATGACATTCTTGCCTGCAACAGCAAGGCAACAAACCAGAAAAGCCTGCAAAAATCTACACAAACCAAGCTGCTTTGTCTCTACCATGTAGATTTTCATAATATTACCACTTCTTTCCAATTCAGACAGCACTGGGAACGCTAAAGGCAACCACAAGTATTACACCGAAGACAGACAGAAGTAGACACTACTGTTTTTCAGTTCCGATGCCTCAACAGATTGCCACTTCGTTTGGCACAACAATAATTAACACAACCTAGGGATCTCATTTTTAAACACCTTTACTGAACTTGAGATCTTGAACATCTGAATGACTGCCTGAGACTTAAGTAATTTAAAGGTTATCTGGTTCTTAGAAGAAATGAGGGATGACTCAGTCAAAAAAAAAAACAAACCCCAAAAACCAAACCCCCTCGTATTCCAGACCAAAGCACAGGACTAGACTTTTTTAAAAAAAAAAAAAACAAAAGCAGAAAAGCACCACATTGGCTTGTCATAAGCAACTTTTACCTACAAGTTTGTATCAGGCACATCTACTCTTGCCACTTCCCACTATATCATGAAATGAAGTGGGGGATTTTTTTGGTTTGTTTTTCTTAACAGAGGTGGGCTGTGAGTTTCCAGTCAGGGCAAGTTAACATTTGAACCTTAATAAAATGAAAAGGGTACAACCTTAGTTTGTCCTGGTTACCTCCTAGAGAAACTGTGCTTTCCTCCCATATCCATAAACTGCAAAGAGACAGGAAGAAAGAAGAGAAGGTGAGGGGAAACCAAATACCTGCACTTGGTCACCATTTTCTTCATATCCACTTTGATTGTGAGGTGTTCCCTCCTACAGTTGACATCTGACATTTTCACATCTGAAACAGCGTGATTGAAATCGTGCTGGCTATCAGAGGAATCTCCTTTTTTCCTGAATTCCCCTTCTTTCCTTACTCTTTCCTTCGGTTTGCTTTTAAAAGACCCCAGATCAACACCCGCTTTGGAAGAGTTAAGGCAAGCATTGCAGCCCTTCTTTGAACTGTATTTAACAGGTACTTCGACGTGCCCGTCTGCAGTCCGTCTCGCTCTTCCACCGCTAAAGTAATCTAACTCTTTGCTGTCCCGGGCACCCTTAGAAGAACTGTATTTCTGGTCTTCCTGCTTCACATGCTTCTGAGCTCTATCGTCTGAGAAAGGCTTCTCCCCGTCCGGATGCCTGCGCCGCTTGTGACTGTACTCATAGGTTATCTTTGCGACAGAACCCTCCGAGTACTCCCTTTCAGCTGATCGGTGGGACTGGGCACCCAGACTTCTTTGATCCTCCTTTTCTTGGTAGGGTGGAAAAGAACGCTCTTGCTTCCACTTGGCATTTCTTGCTACTTCTCCACCGTCATACCTCTCCATTTCTTTAGCCCTTTTAGACGTGTGCCCATATTCTCTGTAATCGTGATCTTCAGGATACCTGTGTTGACATAAAGCAATTTACACTTGCACTAGAGAAGAAAGCGAGAACTTATGTGTGCAGAATGTTGGACAGCAGAATGCGTGGCAAGTTAACCCACAATCCCTCAGGCCAAGGTACGGATGTGCAGGGGCTCTTAAGAGGGAAATATTATCCTTTCACACTCTAGCCATCAATACGATTTACTTACAAGACAAATAACTTCACTACCACCAGTCGCCCATAATTAAACTACAAAGTGGCCAAGGTGTTTCAAGGTGGATATCTTCAACTATAATGAAAACAGACTTTCACTTGAGGCTTTACACCACAATACCCAGGTTTTAATTATTTTATTCCTATACCTCTTCTGTAAAGAGCTCCTTGCCGTAAATTCATCAGAAACTCTTCTGGGTGACTGACCATACTTCTCTTCGTGTAACCTCTGGTGCCTCAAGTCATCGTCATGCCATTTTCTTTCAAATTTACATGAAGCCCCTAACGGTCTATGAAAAGGTTTCATTCCTTTTTCATTTCCAGTGAATTTGTAGTGCTCAAACATGTATCTTTCTTCCATTTTGTGTTGGTAAAAGGGACGATCATGCTCTTTGTATGGTATTTCCGAGTATTTTGGGGGTAACTGGCATCTCCTATTGCTTTCAGTTCTTTCAGAAGAATGTGTTCTGTAGGGCTTATGTCTGTAAGCATCTTCCATGGGAATTCTTTTCAGGTTTGGTGAAGGTGATCTGCGCTCGTATATCCTCTGGTGGTTATTTCCATGAGGTGCAAACCTGGAATTGCTTTGTCCGTATTTCTCATCTTCTGTTCTCCATGGCATAGGTTTCTTTGGGTCCTTACGAAAGCTTTTATATTCGCAGTCATAATTAATATGAGCATGCCTTTGCCGATGGTGCTCTGGACTCCTAAATGCTGGAGATAAGGACCTAAGGCAAAAACAAAATCCTCCTTGAGTAGCCCCATAAAACTGAATCAACCTTTTAATGAGAGCATCTATTCTCCAAGGAACTATAGGTTAGTACACAGTTTCAATCAACTGGTAAGAAACGTAAGAACAAGCTAAGATATTCCAGGTGTCATTTGCCTTGGTTAGACTATCAAGCTTACTTTTACGCTGTTCAAAGTTTTCATCGTAAAAATACCCACTCAAAACAGCAGTAAGTCAATAATTTTTTTCTCTTTACACTTTTTCATTTAGAACTAATTTTATATATACACCAAGTTTCCAGTACATTGAAATAAACTGTTACATACATTTTCACACTTCTCAAGCAGTCCCTATCTCTCTCAGTGCCAAGAGAAAAAAGGATATAAAAAACTGAGGGGAAAAAAAGAAAAAACATACTTTACAGGATTTCTTTGCATGCCAAAACATGCATTTTCGTGAGACCTGGGGCATTTCTCCCTGCCCTTCACACAAAGGGCATTCACAACTGTCAATCTAATATGGAAGTACACAGGATTTCTCTTTCTATAAATAAAAAAAAAACCCACACATTTTTCTGTTACCCAACAAGGTCCCTTGGTCTCGGTCATCACAACTTAGTCTGTTCAGTACAGTACTCCAAAAGCAGCAGAAAAGCAGTTTCAAGCTCTTGCAAGCTTAAAAGTATGCCAGTCGCTTAGTTTTAACACCTCAGATGGGCACTGCAAGTCCTAAAACTTAGGCAGGTAACTAACAGCATGAAGTAACCTGGATGTTACTCTGGTAACAGACTTCAGTGGCACTAGGGTAGTGTCCAAACCGAAGGGCACTGACTCCCGTGTTCTCAGATCACCTCACACTGCAAGGCATATCTAACTGTGATAAAAATCCATCTGCGGATCAGCCACAAAGGCTCAGAAAGCCTGGGGGGTCTGAACCAAGAAGTAGTTTTCTTAACAGCTGACCTGGCCCTCCCTGTAGACAAAGAGGCAAAACAGGAGAGAGTTACAGACATGAAGTGCATCAAGTGGTACTTGAGTAAAAATGACCTGAACAAGTTTAGTGCTTGGATGTTGAACAGTTCCAAGGCCCGAAACGTGCAAGCTGGACAAAGTTCTCAGCAGACACTAAAACCTTAACGTCTCCAGAATAAGAAAAATAAACTTAAAAAAATCATTACAGCAAAATTACGAGTCGGAAAAAATCGCAAAAGGTGTTCAGTTTGGAAAATAAGTTATAATTTATAAAATACACATTAAAATTTCAATTCAGGATGCCATTTTCTTTTACACATGTTTCAAGTCCTAATCATAAATCCCTAGACAGAGCTACATTTCAGAACACAAGTTACAGATGAATATTCACCTTGGTTTCCATCGTGGTGATCTTGATCTAGATCTTGTCATCTTCTCTCACGTGCTTATACGGTTTTCCTGAAGCTGTAAAAACGGTACAATTTACTAGTCTGATAACAGCATTGTACTACAAATTGCAAGAACAGGTTTTTTTAACAAGTGTGGTAAGATGCTCCAAGGTTGGGTGGGGCAAGGCATATTTTCAGGATGTTCTTTTACCTCTAATGACCATTTTAAGGCAAATAACATTTTTCCTAACTGCTTAGGAATTAAGAACTTAGAACACAGCTTATTTTCATTATAAAGACTTACATTTGACCATTGCTCCCTTTTTCCTCTCCATTTTGTAATGCTGCCTGTTCACTCTGGTTTTAAGTGTTAATAATATCACAAGCAAGCTGCAGAAACTGAAGTGTTGCAATTGCTAGTATGTACTGAATGCTATAAATGACAGAGGGGGGAGAGACAGCCAGCTTTAAACTCACGTTTACGAAGAACAATGTTTTAGCATCACGTTATATTCTGAACTCCAAATTTGTAACGTGATGTTGTACATGGTTACAGACCTCCTGAAGCTTTAACTGTTCCATCAAATCTCAGCTGCTGTCTCATCATACACTTCATCCAAATCAAACCATGTACAAAAGACCACTTTTCATGTTTATACTTCACTTTTTAATAGCCTACTACCTAGGCACACACTTCAATGTACAATGGATGCACTATGTAACAGAAAGTCCTGCTCCTGAATCCTGGAAGTAACTCTGGACACCCCTTCTCATAAAAAGCTATGAAAGAATGAAAGAAATGCCAGTGGTATCTACCCTTCTTGTTCTTCTTTACAAAGAGATACTAGAAGTCTAGAAAATAAGCAATGAAAAAATATACAAACTCACCAGTAACATGACCGGTGAATACGAATGGAATGACTATTCATTATTTAGCAAACACAAGGATTAAAGCAGAGTGAAAATATTTGGTAACTGGTTAAAGTTGGAATTTGGACCACAAAGCAATGCCTACAGCTCCTAATTACCACAAGATGCTGTAAAGGCAAGAAATATAAATAGATACAAAACCAGATCCATCAACAGCTCTAAAATTAATGAGCCACCAGTCACCTGAAACTGGAAGAATACACCCGGGTCAATGTCACTCTGCGCTCTGGTATTTTCTGCAAGTATTTGCTCAGACACGGAGACAGAAAACTAGTCTGTACTGGCCAAGTATGGCCTTTCTGACACTCCCAATGCTCAAATCATTTCTTTAACCGAATCTTTTACCTCACCAACTAAAATTGAAAGGGGAGAAAAACCAGCAAGCTTTAAGGAACATGAAGGAACCTGGAAAAGCAGTGTGCCCCCACACACCTGGCCCGGTGCCTCACCTCCCCCCACCCAGCCACACTAATTGCTCAAATAAAATATTACCCCTTGCTACAGCTGATCTTCTGTATGATTAGCTCCTGGCTAAACCAGCAGTATCTTAGAGGAGAACGTACAGCATATTTCTGATGCCAACCACCAGGGTGGACGTTAGACATCCATCACATTTCAGAGCCGTTCTGGAAGTGTTCGCTTCCTGCTCATTAAGCTGCACCATAAGCTACACAGACTATCATTTGCGAGACACAGCAATAGCTTAGTTCTGGAGGAAACCCTCTTGAATTTATCTTTTAAAAAATCCCTGTTGTGGTTTAATCCCAGCCAGCAATTAAGTACCACACAGCCACTCGCTCACCACCACCCCTCCTCCAGTGGGGATGGAGAATCGGAGGAAAAGACAGGGAAGCTCATGGATTGCGGTAAGAACAATAATTGAATATAAATTAATAAAATAGTGATACTACTAGTGCTAGCCAATACTACTAATGCTACTATGTAATAACAGAAAATAAAGCAAATTATACAATTGCTCACCAACCAATCCCCAGCCAGGCCCTGAGCAGCGAGAGTCAGAGCCAGAGAGCCCGAGAGCGATCGCAGCAGAGTCCAAGCGAGCCCCACGAGCGATAGCACCAACCAGAAGAACAGCCAGCCTTCCAGCAACCAGTACTGCCCTCCAGCCCACCCCCCAGCTTACGTACCGAGCATGACATGCTACGGAACTAACTACTACTTTAGTCAGTTTGGGTCAGCTGTCTGAACTGTGTGTCCCCCCACAGTTCTCCTGAACTGTGTGTCCCCCCACACTGTTTTCAGTGAGAAAGTTGGGAACATGGGTGCCGTATCAGAAGCTGAGAAAGACCTTGAATAGGTACGAGCACTCCCCAGCACCAACTGAAAAACACCTTATCAGTACTGTTCTCAGAGCAAATCCAAAACGTAGCCTCACACCAAGTAAACCCAGCACAATCTCAAGTCTCCTGTTTGCCACGAGCACCTGCTCCGCGGCGCGCCCTTCTGCGCGACAAGGCATGATGTTGTAAGAACTGTTGAGGGGATAGTGAAGCAAAAATAAAAAAAAACACCAACCCCAAAGACAACACAAACTATTTGTTCCCTGGACTTTCCCAAAGACAACACAAACTATTTGTTCTTTTTTGAAACTATTTCTATTTTGAAACTATTTGAACTTTTAGATATGAAGTCAGCATTGCCTCTTGGATCCGAAAGGCATGTATCTGAGGACTGCACAGCATGAATTAACCTCAGGCCCCTTGCTTACTCGAAGAACATACGAGCCAACATTAAATATGATGCTCCAATGCCAGTATTCAAACATTATTTTTCAAAGAGAAGTAATGCTGTGACCAGAATATCTTCCTATTTCTCACCCATAAAAGCACACCCTGTCAAACTGAACAGCATTTCAGAAACAAAAGCCCACAGCCCCTGGCTAACCCATTTCAATAAGAGATGCGTGTCCGGCAACCTTCAAATATGCACTACTACCCTTTCTCCTGGTAAACTTAAAAAAAAAGACAGAGCTGTATGTGCCATTCATATTATTCCTATCTTCCCTTCAGTTCTGAACTTCATCCTTCATTTCCAAGCGAGTGTGTAAACAGCGAAATGACAGAAGTACCATTAAACCCCACCCAACCATTGCACAGAACCTGATCTGCCAGGATCTCTCATCGCAGACTGATCAAGCTGGAAACTGAGCATGCATAACAAGAGACTCCTTATGCTTTCAATACTGGCGAAACAATCGTATCAAAAGCGTGAGAAGGACTGTGACAGCACGTCCTAGATCTTGCCTTAGGATAAAGGGGACTACTGTAATTTCCAGTGAAGACACTCTTTTTGTTTAGCAGAAAAAGCGTTCATTTGTTGCAGCGCGCCTCCTAGAGCGACTGGCGCAATATGCTTTCCTCCCAGCGAGATGCAAGACGCGATACGCGGCACACGAAGGCAACAGACACCCGACCCCAGTCAAGACTCCCAGCATAACACCAGAATCCCAAATTCACCTATACGCTATTGGCAGGCAGTGCTAAATTCAGGTTTTAACCACCTCATCTCAGCCATAGGGCTCCATACCCACAGCAAGCTTTCTGTAGGATGGTTCCAGGTAGCAAGTTTGTCTATAGCAGAATTAGTTAAATCCAATGACGGCCCTATGGTTGCCGAGTCAGCCATCCTGGTGCTTCTGAAACCCCAGGTCACGCCGGAGCAGAGGTGTCAGGACCTGCTACAGCCTTGGTTCCGAATTTTGCCAAGTGCCCCTGCTGTACTTTATGAGATGCTGTCACTATGAAAACACAAAGAACTATTTTTTTTTTTTAGCTAGGAAAGAACATCATTAGGTTCACAGGGCGGCTCGTGTTTGTTGTGTTACAACAATAAGTGACTCATTGGAGGAGTTATCAGTAACTGTGCTTAGATAATTTTTAAATATTAATGGGAACCCCACCTTTTATTTTCTTTTCCTTGACTTTTGGAATTGAGAACAACTTTCCCCTTGGGAAGAACAGCCTCAAGCCTGCTGGCCAGCTCTCCTCTGATTCCACCCTTGAGAGACCAGTGCTTAGATACTACAAGAATTCTGTACTTCCACTGCAGACCTGAAAGGAGTATCTCCAGAAAAGTACCTTGAAAATGACCAGACATTGTATGGGACATGACAACCTGAACACACATTTTTTCAGAAAGGCTGCAAGTTTCTAGCAACTTGAAGATTGTTCTGGTCAGGAGAGCAATCTCCTTGATTTTCTACAGCATGAAATACAGGAATCACAAATGACTGCAGTCATGCAGCTGAACGGAGGGGAACTGGAGCTCTCCCTAATGCGAAGGGCCCCATACCAGCATGCCCCAAACAGCTAAAATCTTGCAGATAAAGCACAGACTGAGTAGTAGTTAACTCTCCTGTAAACAGACCATAAATACAGGGACTGCTTTACATGCCTTTTGGGTGCCTTCCATCACCCACAACAGATGATGGGAGAAACCCTCTGCATGTCAGGTAGAGGACAGGTCAACAGTAGTGCCCACCGTGAAGGAGCTGCTCTTCCTTTGCCTCTTCCCCACAGCAAAGGGAGGTGTCATTCCACACCCCTTTACAAGGGACTGCCCCTGCCTCCCAGACCTTTTAGAAGAGGAAGGGATAAGGGAAGTCCTTCATTCGCTGGGTCACACAGCACACGCAAGACAGACAGACTCTCGGTGCAAAACCGGCCCAGCTCACCATTCCCTCACTCTGCCCAGAAAGGTAAGGAGCAACTGAGAGCTTTCCATCTGACTCTCTTCTAGGTAGGGATCAACTAGAACCTGCTAGGGCCAGACCAGTGCATATACTGGTGCAGGGTCTGTCAAGAAAGAGAAACAGCAATTGAGAGTCTCAGCACCGAGACAGGCAAGTGTTGGACACAAACACAATCAAATTAAAAGCTCAGCTGCAATCCAGACCAAACCAAAAAAGCAAATACCTTGAAGACTGCAATACAGAAAGCCATTTATCCTACCCTTAAAAGTATAGAACTGACTATTTTCCTAGTAGGCGTGTTATAATAGCTGTTTCAAATTCTATCCCATGCAGCTCCCACCCCAGCAGGACACAAGCCTGGCATGTTCTTGCCCATTCAGCTTCCAAGCAAACCTTGTCAT